CCAAACTGTTGGAGTTCCCTCCCCATCACCATTTTTCCTCTTGGTGTCAGCAAAACTTGTCAGAAGTGATTTATGCTGATAGCAAAGGAACAAAGCAGCAGACAGAAATGCACATAGGAGCCGATTTACTAAAACTGGAAAGTGCAAAATCTGATGCAGCCATGCATGGTAGCCAATCAGCTTCTAACTTCAGCTTGTTCAATTAAGCTTTGACAATAAAACCTGGAAGCCGATGGGTTTCTGGGCACAGCTGCACCAGATTTTGCACTCTCAAATTTTAAGTAAATCAACTTGTGTGCTCTGGATTAAGACAACTATACACTATAGAGGTATATGCTTTGTTCATATTTCATGTCTGGAGTTTACAACCACTTCAATCATCTTATATCTATCAGTAGCTATATCTAGTCAGTAGCAACTGACTAAATATCTGGCTTTCATAACCATTATCTACAATATGTCAGATAACCCAGGGGGCATTGGTGTCCATATAGCTGCTGGAGGGGGGAGACCCAGCAAAGCCTCATGAGAGGGTCAGCGGCAAGAACTGGGAAGAGACAGCAAACACTTATGATGTAAGAAGAAAGATGACAGAGTGGGAACATGGATTCACTGGGAACATGGATTCACTGGGAATGTGAGTATGTTACTGAAGAATAACCCCTCAAAAAGGGTAATAGAGGATTAAAATTAAAATCAACCACAGGGAGGAGCTGGGTAAAGATCCTCTTTAAAAATTTTCATGTGTCATTTGTTCTGACAAAAATCTATTAAAAGAGAAGTATGGAAAAAAAAAAAAAACATCTATACTCACCTAAGAGCCGATGCTGCATCTGTCCCCCACTGGCTTTGCAGTGAAACCTGAGAGAACAAACATGGCTGATCATTCAGTTCTCCCCTCCGCTCTGAGTAGAGCCATGACTGTCAGTCAGCTCACTGAAGCGCTGGGCTCTGAAGGGGGTGAGAAAGGCTGAGCCAGGTGCCAGTCCAGGCATCTGGGTGGATCCCAACAAGATGGTTGGGATCATTTCAGAGCCTGGACAGGCTTAGCGACATCAGCTGACAGCACATTTTAGACCACTGTCGCTGAAAATGGGTCACAGGAGTACAGAGAGAAACGGAACTCTTCTGATCCATAGGAGAAGTATATCCAAACAAGTTTTAGCTATACTTCTCCTTTAAATAAAAGTAAATAAAAATTTCTAGGGGGGCAAAATAGAAGTTAGCTAGGGTAAAGATCCACTTTAAGGACTGCTTTTCACTGACAGTAATAAAACAACAATGGATACAAGTCATTTTAATATATTGGTTCTATGACAAATCTCAATTAAAATGTGTTCACATGTAGCCCAGTAAAGCTACAAAGTAAACAATGCCCAATTGTGCAGCTCTAATAGAGACTTTATTCTGGGGTTACCATCACTCCTGAACAATTTAAAGCCGATAGCTACTCCTAACCATTGCAGAAAAAGATACCTGAAAGCTCCCTTAGAATGTTCTTATTATGGATTAATGAAAACCAGATGTCTGCAAGCCAGCGACGTGTCCGTAATTAAAATCCCGAGCAGTCTCTGCAGTGTGCGTTACAGGAAGTAGACAGGCCTTCGCAGCACAAAGCTGTTTGAATCTGCACCCTGCAGCAAATCTAGTCTGATTGGTGAAATGACAGCCAGTTCTACACATACCCTGGCTCAGCTCTCTTTCTGCTTGGGGGAAGGGAAGGGTGGAAAATATTTTCAAAACCTATTAGAATTCCCAGCCATTTACTTAAAGGAATCAAGCAATCGGCTTTATTCAAAGCACAGAAATACGGCTTAATACATAAAAGAAATCCCAAGGCAAAACAAAGAAAAAATATTCATAAAACGCTGCAGCAGCAAAAAAGAAGGCAATCTCGACTTCTTTTTGCTTCTATGAATCCAATATGACCATAATCATTAAAGGGTGACCCATTCTCAAAGAAATCAGGAGACATTTTAGGCCCATGTACGCATCTATTTCCACAGGATGTTGACCTCAGCATATCATCTGAGATGCATACTACACTATTTGAATGTGCTGCTGGCACCAACACATTATTGATTTACATTTGACCCTGAGTCAGTCATTCATCTATCATGTATTTTAAGCAGTACACATGTAAACACAGATATAGAGCTATTAAGGCCTATTCACACCTCTAATTGGCTGCGATGCGTTAAGCACCTGTGTTATTGAGCACTGCAATCGGGTAGCACATTCATTTGAATGGACTGCCCAATGTACGTCATACAAAAAAAATTGGCCATGTAACTTTTTGCCAGTGCACCACAATGCACATTGGTGTTGAATGAATGCCTTGGCAAAGTGCCAACACAAGTAGTGTGTCTAGTCACAGTCCCATCAGGAGAAATGCAAGACAAAAAGTTAAACTTAACCACTTCCCATCCAGCTCATATATATATATATATATATATATATATATATATATATATGGCCAGACGGGAGCAGTGCAAGAGTGGGTTGCAGTTCATAAACGGCGCCCGCATTTACAGGCTGTATGCGCTCCCTGGGAGCGCAAGGCACCACAGCAAAACACAGATCGCTGTCCGGGACCTCTATGTGAGGTCCCGATCATGTGATCCCTGATTGGCCAATCAGTAATCGTATGAATAGTAGTAAGCAAGATGTCACTTCTGACATCATTGCTTACTACTAGTGAAATATGTTAATGATCACAAAGGTCACATAGTACAAGGCTATTCACAACAGCCTTGTACCATGTGACAAGTTGTGAAAAATCACAGCTCACACAGTATTTCTCAATGGCTGCAAGAATGCCTTTAGGGGTATAAAAAGCACAGTGTAAAAGAAAAGTAGCTGTCCATGGGAGCAATAGTTCTCCACTGGTGTCAGTGGTAGGAAGGGTGCCTCATGTCAGCGGTAGGAAGAGAGCCCCAAATGCCATATAAATACAAGCAAGGGGCAGCAGTTTGCAGACCACTGGTCAAGTTCACCATTTACAGTTGTTCATTAAACAATTCTGTTTGTTTTCCTGCCTCACATATGCTCAATTAGAGATTTATTTATTTCAGGTACTTCTATAGCGCCATCAATTTACGCAGCGCTTTACACATATATATTGTACATTCACATCAGTCCCTAACCCTCAAGGAGTGTACAGTCTAAGGTCCCTAACTCACATTCATACATACACATACTAGGGCCAATTTAGACAGGAACCAATTCACCTACCAGATGGAATGATGTCTGAAATACTCTGCAAGGTTTTCTTTCTTGCTCATAAATAAAGTAATGCAAGGATTCAAAAAGTTTCTCAAACACAAGAAAACACAGAGGGGCTTAATGTGAAAGTGTTTCTCCTTATTACAAGCCATAATCCAAAAAAACCATAGCACAGTCCAGCTAGCAGCTATAAAACTTGACACTTTCTCAAGAATGCAAAATAAAATTAAACTGGGGGCAATAAATTCTTTATGCCTTTGGTGTAGAAAGTGCCATAAACAACAGCAGGCTATGTGTCTGAAAAACTGTCTGTGATGCAATGCTTAAAAATTGTAAATTTGAAAATGTTTTTTTCTAATACATGCTTGAAAATGAAAAAAAAAAAAGGGTTAAGTTACTATGAGCAACACAAACAGTTTGTATTTCAGATACTGTAATGTGATTTTCTTGCTTTCATTTTTTTTTTTTTTTTACAGTGACCTTGTGTTTTACATTATTTGGGCTCAATGGCCTGTAAGGTTACCTTCACTGAATGGCAGTTGATGCATAGGCAAACATCAGAGAGAGTACACACCACAGAACTAACTATTCTGGCCATTACCAATAAGAACAGGCATCTTGTGGTGTCTGCTCTTGAACATGACATTTATCTTCAAAGGGCTCATGCACAGTCTTACAATCCACTGCGTTCAGATCCATGATTAATATGGACCCATGTCCACTGATCACAGCACCTAGCTGCATAAACCCAAACTAGAAAAATGTGCTTTCATGGTCCTGCACCATATTTTATACTGTACACATGAAAACATCTGTGCCCAAGTTTACATTAGTACGTGGATCCTATTGGCCAACCTGTAAAATGTCAATAAAGTGCAGCTATAGGCACTGCCACCACTGATTACATACTACTGATGTTTACATCTCCCCTGAATGAGTCACTCATGCTGTGACGATGCATGTACAGAATGACCTCGGTCCTCTGTCATTCAGAACTGTTGTAGTTATTCTGTGCATATGTCACAGCTGCATGAATAACTTATTCACGGGGAGATGTAAATATCAATAATGTGTAATCAGTAGTACCAGTGGATACAAATTGATACCTACATGTTGGCCCATTGTAACTCCCTCCTCATTGGCCTACCTAATCGCAGGCTATCCCTCTTCAGTCTATCATGACTGCTGCTGCCAGACTCATCCACCTTACTAACCGTTCTGTATCAGCCACCCCTCTCTGCCAATCCCTCCACTGGCTTCCCATTGCCCAACGGATAAAATGCAAAACATTAATAACATATAAAGCCATTTATAAAACTCTGCCCCAAATTACATCACCAATCTTGTCTCCAAATATCACCCAAACCGTACTCTCCGCTCCTCGCATGACCTCCTCCCATGCTCATCTCTAGGACTTCTCCAGAGGAGCTTCCCCCATCCGCTCGAACTCTCTACCTCAATTTATCAAGACTATCGCCTACTCTGCTCACTTTTAGGCGATCTCTGAAAACTTCTCTCTTCAGGGAAGCCTATCCTGCCCTCAGCTAATAATGGAATCTTCTACTCCTCCTACCAGTCCTTCCCCCACAGTTACTACCTTTTGTACCACTAGCCCCTCCCTCTTAGATTGTAAGCTCCAAGGAGCAGGGCCCTCCTAACCCTTTTGTCTTGAACTGTATTGTTGCTGTACCGTCTCCCGTTATATTGTAAAGCACTGAGCAAACTGTTGATGCTATATAAATCCTGAATAATAATAAATGCGGTATGCCTATAAACATTAGCACAGGGCTTGGAATTTCCACTCGCCTACTCACCAATGGCGAGTGGAAATTATGGTGGGGTGAGTGTGTCCCCCAGGGCCGTCTTGCTGAGCAGGCTGGGAGCTTAGGCCGGATCTGTCATTGGCACTGGGAGCCATCAGACTGCTCAATAGCTGAGTGCAGTGAAAGCAAAGGAAGGAGTGTGTGCTGTGCTCTCTGCCTCCCCCTAGAGTGCAGTACCCGGATATGTGAGTGAACAATGAAGTACTGCAACTTTTTATGGGTGTGTGTGTGCGCATGTACACTTGTACGTGTGTCTGTGTGTATGTACATGTATGTCTGTGTGTACATGTGTCTGTGTATGTATGTACATGCGTCTGTGCGTGTGTATTTCTGTGTATGTACATGTATCTGTGTGTATGCGTGTCTGTACGTGCCTGTGTGTATATATGTGTCTGTGTGTGTGTGTGTGTATACATGTGTCTGTGTGTGTGTACATTTTTCTGTGTGTATATGTCTGTGTGTGTGTGTGTACAGGTGTCTGTATGTATGTACATGTGTCGGTGTGTGTGTATTTCTGTGTATGTACATGTATCTGTGTGTATGCGTGTCTGTACGTGCCTGTGTGTGTGTACATGTGTGTACATGTTTCTGTGTGTGTATGTACAGGTGTCTCGGTTTGTTGGTGGTGAGTAACTCTAAGGCCTGGCTAGTAGCTCAGGACTTGAAATTTTAAGCCCTGCATTAGCACACATTTAAATATGAGTACAGTGTATGGACAACTTACACCCACCCAAAAACAATACGCCCAAGTGCATAAGCCCTGGTGGCCTATTCGCATCCGCCTACTCTCCTGCATTGTGTTATTGCACGTTAATCTGCATGCTGTCAATGGATCACAATGCCTTTTTCTCAAAGTGCAAATAAATAATAGGGAAGGTCATAACAATCAGAAATCATAGAACTCTAAATATATCAGCATGTGCCTAAAAGAATATAATAGATTTATCCGAATACCATTAACACAATAAATCAAAAAAACTTGCTGTGGAAACATGTTGGGTGGCCACTTCAGATGAATGGTACCACAACACAATGTTGTGAATCAAACCTAAATATTTTACATAGATTACGTTAAAATGACAGGACGATAAAAGGGACCGATATTTTCATATAGTAAACGCATAAATACAGCTATTATGGTTACGTTAAAAGGATTGGCTGTTTTGTCTGATAATTACAAAAAAAAGCCGGAAACTGGCTGAAAAGGACTTTGTACTTTTATAGTTTTGGATAAAGTGGAGAGGGATTAGAACACCTGTTGAGTTTTTATTGCCGACTGTTTACTTACTAGGGAGATTCACCATCTCCAGGGATGTTGAATTCCTATCGCCCGACACATGTAGCTCTGGGCGCAGGGCAGGTAGTGTTTTTTTTCTACCTTTAGCCCTGCTGCGGGCAAACAGCAGGGCTCATCTGTCAGGTGGAAGCAATCGGCGGCAGCGCTGCCGCCGATTACTTCCACACAGTGCCAGCCTCTCCGTGTGAACTTTCCCCCGCCCACTATCTCCCGGGCTCCGCTTGCACATCTGCGGGCCCGGTTCACCGCCGTCAGCTAGAGTGGAGTGGACACGTCCACCCCCCTCCCTTTCTTGTCCTGACCCGGAAGTGATGTTATGTCACTTCCGGGTACCTGCTCAGAGAATCACTAAATGTAATGCGGTGAGATGTGCACTACTTTACATTCAGTGTAGTAGAGGGGAGACATGCAGGGTCTTTATACCTTGGATGTCTCAATAAAGAGAACCTGTCACCTAATATCACATAGGGGACTTGTGTTCCCTATGTGATGATAAAAATTAAGTGTAAAAAAATAAATATTTGTTAATTGTAAAAAATGAAAGTTATAACCTAACACCTAAGCACATAACATCCCCCCAAAAGAAAATGAGGCACCCCCACATATACGCATGTCCAAAATAAAAGCACACGCTGGGGCGCCTACGCATGTATATGTAAATTTGAAACACATGTCCCATATTGCCACGCACGCCAGGATGAGAGCAATAATTCTAGCACCAGACCTACTCCATAACACTAAACTGATGACCTATAAGGGGCTTTAAAATCATCACCTATAGAAAATTTAAGGTACTGAAATTCGGTGCCATTTCACAAGCACATGCAAATTTAAGGTTTGGCATGTTGGACATTTACTTTCAAGATGCAACCTCATCTTTTATATTTAAAAAAAAAAATAGGGTAATTTATTGCTTTTTTTGTGCCCTAAAATTAACTTGCTTGTATTTTTACTGAAAAGGTAATATCATGCGACATAAAAAATTGGAACTACCACTTTTATTCTCTAGGGTCTCTGATTTCAGAAAATACATAATGTTTGGGGGTTTTATGTAATCTTCAGGCATAAAATGATTTCTTTAATCTTGTACAAAAAAAAATGCAAAAATGGCTCTGGCAGTGAAAGGGATAAAAAATAAGCCCGACACTCCCCTTTCCTAAGGAGCAGCCAATCAGTGATCATTACACTGCAAGGTCTCTCTCCTCCCTGTTAGTTCCCGGATGTGCTGCTAGAGACAGGCGGGGGGGAGGGGTAGGAGATAAACAGTGGAATGTTAAAAATGTTACACATTAAGTCGCCATAAAGCCCCTTTTGTTTTTGAAACAGTCCTAAAATCACCTCTGATTTAAATACGGTGTTGGTTAAAAAAAATTTTTTTTTTCATCTGGAGAAGTAGATTGTCATGAGGGACGAGCAGACTGGGGTACCAATTTAGTCCCTGGACAAGTAGTTTTTTCAAAAATTTCCACACCCCTGCTCTCTGTGGGTCATAGTGACTTATCACCGAGAGTGAAAATAAAAAAAATCCAAAATTTTGAAATGTCACCAGAAAAAGAATAAAGGGGAACCTTCCAATGAGGACTGGAGATTTCTCTAACTTTGATCATTTTTCCTCATTTCCTATTGTACCTATGACACAGGAAGTGAAGGGAAATCCCCCACAGATGACAAGCACAAATTAACAGGGGTTAGAACTCTTCATTAATCTATACTTCTCAGTACAAAAAGGGAAAATTAAAACAAAGCAAATGATAAGTATGGAATACATACTATTATAGTATAGGCATAAAAACTTGTAGGATAACTTTAACTCCAAGCAAAATTTTTTTTGCTCAGTGAATTCAAGCGTGGTACCCTGATAGGTTGCCACCTGTGCAATACGTTCATCCATAAATTTTCCTTGCGGATAAAAAAAAAAAAAAAAAAAAAAAAAAAAAAAGCGCCCGAGAAAAAAAAAAATGCCGCCTTGGGTATGTGAATGTATATCTACGTATGTTTTCACACTGAGGTGTTGCACTTGCGGTAAAAATTCCTGCTTGCAGCATCTTTGGGGCATGTTTGGTGAGTTAAAGAAAACACTCCAAAAACATCTCTTCACATTGAAATCAATGGAAAACACCTGAAAAATGCCTGAAACGGCACCTCAAAAACACCTCTGGGAGGCATGTTTGGTGCAGTTTTTAAGTCATGTGTCCTTTAAAAACAATCAGAAAGCGAGGCAAAAGCGTGATAAAAACACCTATGCATTTTTGCAGTATGCCACGAAGCTGAAGCGCACAGTGCGTAGAGGTCGCCCACTATCTACAGAGTCAATAGCTAAAAACCTCCAAACTTCGTGTGGCCTTCAGATTAGCACAACAGTGCATAGAGAGCTTCATGGAATGGGTTTCCATGGTCGAGCAGCTGTTTCCAAGCCTTACATCACCAAGTGCAATGAAAAGCGTTGGATGCAGTGGTGTAAAGCACGCCGCCACTGGACTCTAGAGCAGTGGAGACTTGTTCTCTAGACTGACGAATCGCACATCTCTGTCTGGAAATCCAATGGACGTGTCTGGGTTTGGTGGTTGCCAGGAGAACAGTACTTGCCTGACTGCATTGTGCCAAGTGTAAAGTTTGGTGGAGGGGGGATTATGGTGTGGGGCTGTTTTTCAGGGGTTGGGCTTGGCCCCTTAGTTCCCGGGAAGGGAACTCTTAAGGCCTTAGCATACCAAGACATTTTCGACAATTTCTTGCTCCCAACTTTGTGGGAAAGGTTTGGGGATGGCCCCTTCCTGTTCCAACATGACTGAGCACAAGTGCACACAGCAAGGTCCATAAAGACATGGATGAGCGAATTTGGGGTGGAGGAACTTAACTGGCCTTCACAGAGTCCTGACCTCAACCCGACAGAACACCTTTGGGATGAATTAGAGCAGAGACTGAGAGCCAGGCCTTCTCGTCCGACATCAGTGCCTGACCTCACAAATGAGCTTCTGGAAGAATGGTCAAACATTCCCATAGACACACTAGACCTTGTGGACAGCCTTCAAAGAACAGCTGAACCTGATATAGCAGCAAAGGGTGGGCCAACTCAATATTTAACCCTACGAGTTAAGACTGGGATACCATTAAAGTTCATGTGTGTGTGTAAAGGCAGGCATCCCAATACTTTTGGCAATATAGTGTATATCTCCAAAACTGGTATAGAGGTACACACGGGTCTTGAAGAGGCAGTAGATCAAAACAGCAACGTTTTTATTGTCAAAGTTTTGATGCAGCTCAGACCATCTTTCTCAAGACACCCTTGGAGAAAGATTAACTGAGCTTCATCGAAACATCGACAAGATAAGTGCTTCTGTTTTGATCTACCTCCTCTGCAAGACCCATGAAGACCTCTATACCAGTCTTGGATTTGTGGGTGAGCACCTGGGCATTTACTTCAGAGCGCTGTGGCTACTTTTGGGAATTTTTTTTTTTCAATATATATTGCAGTTTACCAGTCCTGTGGTGGCTGCATTTGTTTTTGTTTTGTTTTTTTGCTCAGGCTTTTTTCCTATATATTTATCTAGCAAAACTGCTAGTAATGTACTTCCCACAAGAGTAACTTCACTCACTCGATGTACTATATCTATCTCAGGGTGTGCACTCCTGATTTGGACTACAAACACCCCTTCTTCTCATCCCCATTACATTGAATAGAAATCAACAGGTATTGTTCTGTACTTGCAAAATTTCAGGATCTGTATTAATTACTTTTTTAACTGTTACATTGGGGATAATCCCTTCACTTTCACTCTCTCCAAGAGGCACAACAAAGTAAGAGGTTACCCCCTCTAGACAGCTGTCGTAACACATTTCCCTACTGGATAATTTCCCCTAATCTCCAATAGTAATATTTTGGATTTTCCATCACTTTTTGCCACAACGACAATGATCTCCACACAGGAACACAGACAATAAAAACCCTTTCCAACTTGAAGCGACACTAAACAATATCCTAATTCACCAAAAATATTCCATACACATCCACTAGTGAATGGTCCTATAATCCATTGTTCATTAAATCGTTTCTACGTTTTGTGACTTCCTTGTAATGCCCTCCATGAGCTTCTGAACCTCTGCATTTGGATACTCAGAGGAGGCTGGGGCCAATGAAAAGT